AAGAATATGTAACGTTTTGTCCTCTCCAAGCATGATAGGTCTAAATATTTTCATAGTTAATACATTACAAATTTTGGAGATATATATTTAACCTTAATGTCTTTAAACCTAAATTCTCTTATGAAGACCTCGCCTGGTACTAAGGAAATGGAAAAATACCAGAGGATATGACTAAATCTCATGTATTAACATACATTTAAATGTTTGTATCTCCAGCACAAATTAATAGATAACCAATTCTTTTAAACATTCTTTGAAAAATTCTGTAGACACCAAAAAGAAATTTGTCATCAGTTCATACTATATTGTCTCTATTCAATATTTTCTTTTTTTAAAAAACTCAATAACTTGCTAGAACTGGGGTTTCAAATTCTTTCTTCCAAATTAGACTAGTCAGTAGCATTGTTTAACTCCAAGGTGACCTCAACTTTGGTCTCTGTGTGTGTTCACACACTCATGTATATGCTGGCATGCTTTCAAGTCAGTATTGATTCCTGGCAATTACCCGGACAAGTACTTGCAATTTTCTTGGCAAGGTTTGCTATTGAGAAGTGGTTTGCTATTTCCCACTACCTAGAACTGAGAAAGAGTGATTGACGCAAGGTTATCCAGCTGTTTTTGTGCCTATGGTGGGCCTAGACTAGAGCTCAGGATCTCCTGGTTTCTAGTCTGGTCTCTTAATCACTACAACAAACTGGCTCTCAGACTTTAGCTAGTTTATGACTCCCAATTTTCCAAGGATACGTTTTTTTCAACTATCATGATTTGAACATGTATACAACCAGTCTAAATGTTAAGTTATTGCTACATTTTTGTATTTGGATGTCCCCCTTAATTTAATTATCCCTCTCTGTATCATTCTCAAAGTATTTTGCTAGTTATGATGTTTAATTCTTATTTAAATATAGTCACTGGAAGCTTTTGACTGGACACTTTTTTAAAATTCAAACTTCATAGTTCTCTTTATTTCACAATGCAATTTATCAATAAAAAGTATATTAGATAAAATCTATATGCATTTAGACATAAAGCTAACATTAAATAATTCATTATATAAAAGGAGATTGTTTACAAAGACTATGCTTTTTTGAAATAAATTTGTGAGATGAAATATGGGAAGAACATTTTTTTTAAAAAAAATGAAGTACTACAGAAGGCATCAAGTTATACTTGTCAAATTATTTCTACTTATCTGGAGGGAGGGAGAAATCACCTTTATATATTTTCTTTTTTTTTTTAACCCACTTCCATGTTTCTGGGGTTGTTTTCCTTTACTTTTTATATTTTCCTTAGTTTGTTTTAGTTTTCATCTTTGTATTCCTAAACATTAAAAAAAACTATTGCAAAGGAAATTTGTGAATAAATCTTTCAACGAACTCTATTTGACAGCTATGCAAAAAAAGGGGAAATGAGAGTAATTGAACAGAAAGTTATGGCTTACCTGTAAATTTATTGGTGGGAAGGAGATAATGTAATCCAAAACTTTTTGGATACTTTTTTACAAGCAATTTTTAAATTTAGTTTAAATTTAGAAGGATAAGATTCTTCATCGAACTCATCTGTTTATATTTAAAGAGCTTGCAACCATTTAGCCTTTTAATATTAATACTATTTGCTTATGTAGAAGTTAACAGATGAAAATATTCCAGAGAAATGTTCTGAAAGAGAGAGGAAATCAAATTGACTATATTATTTTGTTCTTTGTGTCTTCATGTTAGACCAAAAGCATATGTTAGATCATGTTGTTGCTTTTTTATAAATTCTGTGTCTCTCCCAAAGGAAACATACAAATATTAGTCAGGAGACAATTCTGCCATCTGCTGGGAAAAACATTCAGAACAGTTTACCTGTTTTATTAGACTTTATCAAATAAAACAAAAACCCCAGCTTAAAATTGTATCATTTATACAGAGCAAACAGGATATATAGATTAGATGGAAGAACTAAGCAAGCAATGTTATTAACATATGCAATTCTATATTTGACATTTCTGACCTCAGAACTAAATATTATCAGTAACTAATGTTGGAAAAAATGTCCATCTGGGTTCGATTCCAAGTGGAAAAAAAGACACTTAAAATATGGAGACTGCTTGGAAAGATGGTTTAATGATGGAAAGAACCACATGGTTTGAGATCCTGGGGGCGGAGGTGGAAGAGCACAAGGGTAAGAGAGGGAGAGAGACTTATACCCTCTGTTGAGCTTTGAACTTGCTTCCTGTTCTTGTTGTGGCAAGAAATGTATCCTGATTGGTTGTCAAACTCCCATGGGGCCATGCAGGGGTAACTTTGTGGGTTGTTTTGAGTCCCAAACGTGGTTGAATCTTGCTGGGTGATGGTAATGAGGGGGCTTTGGGCAATTCCTATTATGGCTTAATGGCTTTGTCATGGTTTGTATCTTGAATAAAGGCTAACCCTATCATCCTAGAGCTGAATGTCTTTTGTGTTGTAGATAAGGTGGCCCAGTCTTTCTGAGGCGATTAACAAAGGCGGGGGCTGAATTCTAAGAGTATGTTTCTCCATTTCTCACCCAGGGAGGTATAATATTCTGCCTTTTTAATATTTCCTAGAATATTTCATTCTTCTGGGAAAGGGGTGGGTGCTAACTTCCTACTGAGCTTCATGGTTGAAAGCTCTCTGGGAGCCACTGAAGGGATCCTTCTGCTGTCTCTCTCAATGACTTTCCATCAGAAAAAAAATAAGTCTCCCAGATCTGACCAATTTTAATCTTTTGTCAAAAACATGTGTGTTCCACTCACATGTTTTGAAAAAAGGAGGGATTGATTGTAGGGAGTTAAAACCCATCGCTCTGCTAGAAAAATGAAATATCCTAGGAAATATTGAAAAGGCAGAATATTATATTTCCCTGGATGTGAAAAGGGAGAAACATGTTTTAAAGAGAAAGTAGGTCCTTGCAGCTTCCTGCCCACCCCCTTTGTCAATGGGCCATTAAGATGCCCAAGCCAGTCCCTTTACATAATAAAGAGTTCTCCCCTTCAGCTCCAGGGTGATGGGATTAAGGCATGATTAGCCTTTACCCACTCACCACAAGGCATCTAAGAAATCAACCAAACCTGGATTCAAAATACAGCCTAAAAAGTGGCCCTTGCATGGCTCCATGGGAGTCTGACAACCAATCAGAATACATTTCTTACACAGGAACAGGAAACAGAGAGGTGGGGCTGAACAGAGTATAAAAAGCCCAGCAAGCCCCTTCCTTGGCCCTTCTCTTCTTCTCCACCCAACATTGAAGCATGTGATCACTTTTTCTGTTCAGGACTCAAGCCATGTGGTCCTGTCCACCTTTAAACCATCTTTCCAAGCAGCCTCCATGTCTCCAGTGTCTTTTTCCCCACTTGGAGCCAAACCCAGAAGTACATTTCTTTCAACACTACACAAAAATATGATTCCAATTACTTAATTCCATTATCATAGATTTATGAAATAAATTGAGGGAAATCGTATTGGAACAAAATGGTGTTTTAAAATTGTAGGGGGGGGGATAAATAACTTGCACTATGTTCATGATACTACTGTAATGACCTGGAAACTCAGGCAATGAAAGTGAAGGAGCACAGTGAAAAAATAGGGTTAAGATTAATGTATACAAGAAATATGATAAAACCCAGCACCTAGCTAACTTCAATGTTTTGCTAGTTAAATCTTAACTAGATTCTAGGATTTGGCTATCCCTTATAATGTATTTTATGTACATGAATATTCTGGTATAAAACTTGTGCTTCCTCACAAGGGTATTCATTAAAAAAACACTTTCATCTCCTACCAAGGGTAACTAAAGCAAACATAGAATTGAACATGCATTTTTCTTAAAAGAAGCAACCCAAGGAATTCCTACACTCCTGATCATAATGGCTGGGGAAGTATTTAACCTCTTCTTCCACACACAATATTTTCTTGTTAAGAATGTAGCCAGTTGCTACTGTTTACCCAACTGAACGATCATAAGCACACTTTGATGAGGAATAGGATGAGAATATTTCTCATCATTTCTTCTCGAGGCTCCTCTGTCTCTTTGAGTACTAAAGCCATGTCTAACCTTAGCCCAAGAGACAGATTGAAGGCACAGAAGATAGACAATGATTAAGCTCCACACCTGGGTTCTACCATGTCATGCACCTGCCTATATTCTCTAGCCTTCCTCTAGCACCTGAGCAGTTAGTAATGCTTTTCCAGGCAGCACCTGATGCTTCACAGTTAATCCTCAATGAAAGGGAAGCAAAGCAAAAATATTTCTTCCAATTGCTTTGATTTGTGTCGCATTAAAATAGTAAGAAAAGCATCATGTACCAGCTTTTCTAGAAGAGGCCTCAGCCAGGGTGCTAGTGCAAAGTGCTTACAGGCTGCACAAAATTTGACCAGACACGTTTAGTTGCGTCCTTAGATGCCCTTTTCTGTTATCATCCACTTTCGATGTATTTAGTTTGTAACTTGTGGTTGTTTTTCTGTACTTCCCAATGTTTATCCCCAAAGGGAATAACGTGATGGGTTTATGTCAAAATATTATACGCCCTATACGACTAGAATAGTTTTTACTAGTCCAGGCAGTCACAGGGAATCAATAACTGAATCGAATATTAACCCCCCCTCACCCCAAATCTTTATTTCCATCATTTGTTTAGCGCGCCTCTGCTGTGCCCCCCCCCGGAGCTATTTAAGCAGTGTGATAAAGCAAAGCAAAATATTAAAAGCCGAGGAAGAAGAAAAAAGAGCACCCCCCTCCCCCTCGCAAGGCCTGAACTGAACTGAACTGAACGGAGGAGGCGGGAGACGACAATAGAAGCTGTTTCGTTGCTTAGCAACCAAGGCGAAACAGATTCACTCTGCAGCCCTCCCTTTCTCGGGCCGCAGCTCTTTGCACATGGGTGCAAACAGAAATCAGCCTTTTTTGGTCTCTGCCTCGGCGCGAGCGGTGACGCAATCGGCCCGCGCCTAATGTGAAAGAGGAAGGCGACGTGTGAGGCTGAGGAAGTGGGAGTTTTTCCCCTCATGAAAATGTTATGGTGGTGAATTTGGGTAGGAGAGAGAGAGAGAGAGAGAGAGAGATGTTTCGCCGGAGGTTCTTTTCCCTGCTCGGCTCAATAGAAGAGGGCTCCTGTTTTGACTGCTATGGCTTAAAAGAGCTCACCGGTCCCCGGCAGGGCTCTGCAGATAAGTAAAAGCATCAGAAACGGAGCAGGTGAATCCTCTGCCCTGGCTTGCAGTCTCTTTCTACAAAAATCGGTGCTAATTAGGGTTTGCGGAAGGCGTCCTTCCCTCTCCGTAGTTATATATGAATATACAATTACATCGCAGCGTTCCCAGGTTGGAGAATAAAGGTATTGTCTTCCGGTGGGTAGTGAGATCCGTATTGGCAAAATTATTTGCACCGGTGGCTAAATCTGTCGGTTGACATAAAGATAGTTGGGTTGGGACAGAAGCATCCTTTCCTTAATTTGGGTCTTTGTATTTGTATCCAAGCTGGAATATCCCTGGTGTTCTCCAGCAGGAGCTCAAGTGGAAGCTTCAATTGTGAATGAATTTCTTCTTGTTGTATTAGCCGGAAAAGTTTATATTTATAATGCGGATATGGCCTTGTTTTTCATTTACAAAACATCAAGTAAAGCTTATGCTCTAGGAAGGCATATTTGCTGAAGTACTTTCAAGTGTATGTTGAAGGTTGCAATCTTGAAAATGAAAAATAGACTACCAAATTTGAAGTGTATAAAATACCCAACCTTTCTTTTAGAGTAAAGCAAAGCAAACTCAGTACACATTTGTAGTACTTTGTTAACGGACTTGTAGCTGTCCACACTTAAAAAAAAAACTTTTCTTCACAGGTTATTCATACTCTGAATCTGTCTTCTCAACACTCTTGTTGGCTGGGCTAAGACTATGGCTCCTAAAGATATAATGACTAATTCACATGCCAAGTCCATTCTTAATGCGATGAACTCTTTGCGAAAGAGTAACACACTATGTGATGTGACCCTGCGTGTGGAACAAAAAGACTTTCCAGCTCATCGTATTGTATTAGCTGCTTGCAGTGACTACTTCTGTGCTATGTTCACAAGTGAGGTAGGTAAGATAAACATCAAACATTTTGGGGTATTTTTTCCATGTGAGTAACATGTGCCAGAGACTTAACACTTAAAAATATCACTGCAATTTAAGTATAAACCTTCCTGGAAATAATACTCATTGCATTCTTTGAGATTTACCCAGTACATGTGCATAGAATTGTATTGTACAGCTGCAGTTCTGTGTATAATCTGGAAGTAAGGCAATGGGATTTGCTTTTAAACAAATGTACATGTCTGTAGGCTGTGGGTGTGGGTATTCTTATACAGAGGTTAAAATCGGCAACAAAAATATATAACTCGAACATTATCTTAGTCATGTTTTTTAGAGTTGAATGTTGCCCAGTAACTTTGAATTGTTACAGTGTAATAATCATAACAATTGACAACATAACAATGTAATGAATAGGTAACTATGTTTCTTCTTCCTACAATTTAATTATATATATATTTGGGCATATTTCAACTTGTATAAAGGTTAATATAAAGTTCAATATTAAACCTTGGGCCCATTTCGTTTGAGCATAAATTAGAAGGCCAACTTCATGGGTTTTGCACAACGATGTATCTTCTTTTCTCCTGTAGTGGCTTTTCTCCTATAGGGTTATAAAGAATAAGTCTTTTAGGGTATTTGAGAATTTCAATAGTTTGTATCTTGTTTTTTCATAATATCTTTCCCCTTTCACATTTTATATACTTTTTTGTATGTATAGTATAACATATATAATCAAATAATATGTGAGTATTTGATGGCAATACATTTGAATTAGAAGATCTTTAACTTACACTCTTATGTGATGCTTTGGTAACCACAATTCTAACATACATTTGAAATCTATAAGCAAATAATTTAAAAAAGTATTTATGTTATACTATGGTTATATTTTAGTTAAGGGACACAGTGGCTCAGTGGCTAAGACGCTGACCTTGTCGATGAGAAAGGTTGGCAGTTCGGCAGTTCGAATCCCTAGTGCCGCGTAACAGAGTGAGTTCCCGTTACTTGTCCCAGCTTCTGCCAACCTAGCAGTTCGAAAGCATGTAAAAATGCAAGTAGAAAAAATAGGAACCACCTTTGGTGGGAAGGTAGCATTCCGTGTGCCTTCAACGTTTAGTCATGCCAGCCACATGACCACGGAGATGTCTTTGGAGAGCGCTGGCTCTTCAGCTTTGAAATGGAGATGACCCCTAAAGTCAGGAACGACTAGCACATATGTGAGAGGAAAACCTTTACCTTTATATATTCTAAACTTATAAGACAAAGGTCTGTTGAAGTACTATTAAAAAAAGATTGAAATGAATAAAAGTTAAATTATTTTCTAAAAAGCAAAATGTTTGATACTATATATTATTTCTCCAGGAATGTTATACTGCTTGAAATTGTATTTGTTGTAAATTCATGCTTGTAAATTAACACTTAGTGAATTAGTATTTCCAAATGTGTCTGTAGGTGACCTGAAACAAAACTATGAATGCTACTTATCTAGACCAGAAATAGTACGGATACCAACAATAAATATATTTTATTTCAATAAATTATATTTTGTAGACTAGTAACTTTTTTTTACAGAGGGAAGATTTTGTTGTAATGTATATATAAAAGAGAAGTTGGTATGGTGAATGAAATAGCTTAAGCTCCTGGGAAAAAGCACTAAGATATTTGTGTCTTTGTTATAGTCTTTCAAGGGTGCACTTTTAATGATAATTATTTTTATAGTACATGTAAAGTTTGAATAAATGCTTATTTCCTCTTACCCATACTTATATTTTCCAAATTAGTTTCCATAACCCAGTAAAGATCATTAATACAAATCCTTGTAATTAAACATACTTTACTTGTAATTTGTAGCTTTCAGAGAAAGATAAACCCTATGTGGATATCCAAGGGCTAACAGCCTCAACTATGGAAATACTGCTGGATTTTGTATATACAGAGACTGTCCATGTGACGGTAGAAAATGTTCAGGAGTTACTCCCTGCAGCCTGTCTACTTCAGCTGAAAGGTAATGCCAGAAACAAATTGTATAAAGCAGGAATCAAGGATTAGTTGCATTGTCCAGATGCCTTCAATGTACAAAAATGAACAGAACTTTACAAATATACTGAAGTTAGTAAATTAAAGATGTATTAAAATAACATATAGACCTTGCTTACCGACCATTCATTCAGCAACTTCTCAAAGTTGCAATAGCACTAAATGAGTGGTATTTATGACTGATTCTGAAAGTTCCAGCTTCTCCATTTGCTTAATTCTGAATGCTGAATATTTTGAATGGCCATTTAATAGTTTTCAAATAATTGATGATGTGTACTAGTACAATCAATATGTGATTTTTCATTCTAGAAGTGTTTAAAATGTCAAAAAATATGGCAGCCGAGTCTAAATTCAGACTATAAATATTGATCATAACCATACTTATATCAGTAGTTTTATAAGCTGGAATTAAGTGACATTTATGTCAAATGCAGCTTATTGAATTTAATTTAGACTGGAAAATAAATATAGTAATGCAGCTTATTGAATTTAATTTAGACTGGAAAATAAATATAGTAATGCAGCTTATTGAATTTATAAAAAGAAGTATTTATGACTCATAATGGCCACTAGTTTTACCCTGATTGAAATAATAAAAACACCGCTTCAACCCAGTCTCAATGTCAAGGCTGCTTCCTTCAGTAACCAAGAAAGAAAACTCCCAACTCCATTGTTTGTGGAATTCACTCCAATTTTACTGATACAGGATTTATGATTTTCACAATGGGAAACGGACCCACATATTTCGGGCCCAGCTTCTTCGATTTCTGGGTAATCTGCAGAAACTTGGTGTACAAAAACACCCTATCACCAACTTTGTACTCTTTGGGCTTGGCCCTTTTTTTATCCACCTGTTTTTTGTGAGCTTGGTGAGCCACGTCTAAAGCTTTGCGAGTCATGGGCCAAAACTGCCGAAGTTGATTACTCCATTTGGATAAGGATAAAGTTTACGGTTTTTCTTGAGGCAATTCAGGAATCAGCACAAAATCCTAACCAAACACAACTTTAAAAGGGGTCATTCCTGTACAGCTGTGCACTGAATTATAGTACGCCACCTCCACGTAAAAGTTCAGCCCAATTATCCTGTTGATAATTGATAAAAACACCGAAGGTACTGCTCCAGAACTGAGTTAGCCCGTTCACAAGCCCCATTAGTCTGTGGATTGTGGGTGGAGCTTAGTCCCTGGGCGGAGCCAATCAATTTCAGGAACTCTTTCCAAAAGTGGGAGGTGAATTGGACCCCCCCCCCTGTCTGAAATAATGCATTCAGGCACTCCATGCAACCTATATATAGGTAAAATAAACAATTTAGCCAACAACTTCACTGATGGGATTTTGGAACAAGGCACAAAATGGACCTGCTTGGAGAACAGATCGGTGATTACCCAAATAACGGTATTTCCAAGACTTTCTGCAACTCGACAATAAAATCCATCGATATCTCCTTCCACGGGGCCCCAGGGCAGGCAACACTTTGAAGGAGACCTCGGGGCTTCCCTGGTGGTCTTTTCGTGGCCACACAGACGGGACAATTGGCTATGTAGGACTCAATGTCTTTTTTCAAGGAAAGCCATCAAAATTGCCTTTTAATCAAATGCAGAGTTTTTACAAATCCAAAATGGCCCGCTATTCTCGAATCATGGGCCCGTTGAAGAATAACAGGTTTCAGGCTGGCAGGAACATAAAATTTAGCTTCTACCCAAGCCAGTCCATCTTTCATGGTACATTCATCAAAATATGTTTTGAACCAGTTATCGGACCCAAGACCTTCCTTAAGTTTGTCCATCAAGTCAGTGGTCACATCCAAGTTTACTGAGCCCTGGCTCCTATTAAGCATTGGGGCAGCCAGATTTTTAGCTTGGATGACTCGATGAACCACGGTAGGCCTGGAACTATTGTACTGGGGAAGCCTGGATAATTTAAAGTTCTTCCTTCCCAGGATGTATTTGAGGGTAAAGTTGAAATGGTTGAAATGCTGTGCCCAGTGTATTTGTTTAGGTGATAGCTTATGTGGGGTCTTCAATGCTTCCAGGTTTTTATTATCAGTCCATACTTCAAAAGGGCGTTTCGCTCCCTCTAGGAAATGTCGCCAGGTCATCAAGGCCCATCTGACAGCGAAAGCTTCCTTCTCCCATATGGCCCATCTCCTTTCAGTTTCTGTAAGTTTATGTGAGGTGTAAGCGCAAGGTTGTAATTTCCCCTCTGCCTTTGTTTGGAGTAATACTGCCCCCACTGCCATGTCACTGGCATCAGCCTGAACCACGAATGGTGCATCCATGTCTGGGTGTTTCAAAACAGGCTCTGCTGCGAAAAGTCACTTTAATTTCTCGAAAGCTGCATGACATTCCATAGTCCAGTTCAGAGGCTTATGTGGATTAGGTTTAACTTCCCCCTTTGATTTTAGGAGATTTGTAATTGGCAGTGCGATGCTAGCAAACGAGGGGATAAATTGGTGATAGAAATTTGCAAATCCCAAAAAACTTTGTAGTTGCTTGTGGGTGCGAGGAGCTGCCCGCTCATTGATGGCCTGGACTTTTGCCGGGTCCATTTTGATACCCTTGTGGGAGGACGGTATCCCAAATAATCGATCTTCTCCTGGTGAAATTCACATTTAGACAATTTGCCATAAAGTTCAGTGGCCCGGAGTTTTTTGAGGACCGAGCGCACCAAAGTCACATGTTCCTCATGTGTTTCCACGTGGAGAAGGATGTCATCAAGGTAGACTAACATGCCCTTATACAGGTGCTCATGCAAAAGTTCATTTATTAATTGCACAAAAACTGCTGGTGCCCCCTGCAGTCCAAATGGAAGTACTCTAAACTGGAAACATCCTAAAGGACAGTTGAAAGCAGTTTTCCACTCATCTCCCTCTTTGATTCTGACCTTGTAGTAGGCTTCCCTTAGGTCCAATTTTGTGAAAACTTTCCCTTTGCCCAACTGGGCTAACAGATCCTTCATGAGTGGCAGGAGGTATATGTTTTCCATGCAAATGGCATTAAGATTTTTATAGTTAACGCACAAACGAAAAGAGCCATCTTTCTTTTCTCTGAACAATACAGGTGCGGCTACTCATGGTCTAGCCGGTTGTATAAACCCCTTTTTAAATTTTTGTCGATGAACTTCCGTAATTCCTCCATTTCACATGGGGTCATTGAGTAAATTTGAGGCTTAGGGAGTTTTTCCCCTGGGAGGATCTCAATGCTGCAGTCCATAGCGCGGTAGGGGGTAGTTTATCAGAAGCCCTTTCACTGAAAACCTCCCTGAGGAGGTCTTTGGGGATTTTTTCTTCCCCCTTAACTTTTTTCTTGCGCTGCTGCAGCTAGGTTTAGTTCAGTCTTGGCTATGTGGGAGATCCTCCCCTTCTCCTCTGGGGGTTTAGCAGAACGGATGCGTAACCACCCTTTCCTCCAGTTCATGTATGGGTTCCATTTCCATAGCCAGGGTAATCCCAGTATGAGGGGCTGATCCATCCCAGGCGCAACGATGAAACTCAAGGTTTCTTGGTGATCCCCCATCCACATTTCTATTGGTTCCGTTACAAAATGAGCAGGGGCTCCTCCAGCCACCGACCCGTCTAATTGGCAAAAGGCAATTGATACTTTCAAAGTCCTCAGTCTTAACCCCATTTTCTCCACCATTTCTGAGCTAATTACATAATGGGTGCATCCAGAATCTAAGAGGGCCAGCCTTTTCCCTTGGGTTCCAGTAGAGGGCACTTTAGCTTCTACTAGAATGGTCCTGGGCCCCGATCGGGGACTTACCAAGTGGTCGTCATCAGAGTCAGTTTCACTTTATTCTGAAGGAAAGGAGGGTTCTTCCTCCTCCTGGCTGGGAGGGAAATCCTCAACAGCTTCCACCCCTTTCAAGGCGGTCTCCTTTCATTTCGCTGTCTATCTGTCTGGTTTCTTCTCTCCAGCAACGGTGGGTTTTGGGCCAATTTTTGAGTAGCAGCTCGCTGCTCAGTGCCCCTCCTTCCCGCATCGGAAACAAGCAGTAGATCGGGACTCGCTTGCAGGCCATCCCTTTCCTTCCTTCGGAGCTCCTTTGGGGGTGGGTGGGAGGGGGATTTTTGCCTTTATCACTGCTTCCCTGGTATTTATTCCTGGCTAGGTTGATTTCAACATCTGCTGCCATCTCATACCAGCATTGCAGGTTGTGTGGGGTCCCTCTATTCACACAGCTCTGGTATATATTTTCGTTCAGACCATTCATAAAACTGTCCCTTAAAGGTTCCTCTGACCACTCCCGCATATGTACAGACAACTCACAAAATTCTTGGATGTACTCAGCCACTGGATTTCTTCCCTGAGTAAGAGACTTCTCTTACTAGTTCTCGCCTGATGCTCGGCTAGAGGGTCATCAAAGTGCTTCCTCAGGGTGGCCATAAACACATTGTAATTCCTCAGCATGGAGGGAGTCATCATTATGCAAAGTGACCATACACGCTGCCATTTTGTTCTCCAATGCCATGGTAACAGCTCTCACCTTGGCTTCCTTGTTAGAGAAATCCTCCTCATACTGTTGCATGTAACCTGGACCAGGAAAAATCCCAGCTCTTTGGGGTGTCCTCCAAATTTCACGCCAAGGGGAGGAACTTTTGGCATTCGGCGTCTGCGGGGGACCCCTCCCCCCTTGGAGGGGCTTGGACGGCTGCATATCAAACGATTACCCAACCCCCTCCCTCTAACGACCCCCATTCCAGTATCCAATCTGCAACTCCCTAAGGTGTCATGTGGGTTGCATCTTCAGACAGCATCATCATGTTGGTATGCAGGACGGTTGGCCTTGACCAGGTCCAAACATCGACCATCAGTATGCGCAGAAAATGGTGAGAAGAAAACTCCCTTTGGCATATCACCTCCAGTACCTTTTATTCCCATCCCAAATACCATGCCCTCACCCTCCCCGTTTCTATGGCAGCCGATAGCAAGTAAGCGAAGCAAAGGCTGACACTCTAAGCAAAGAGTAATCATTTCCTTTAGATGTATCTTTTGTAAAAAAGCAACATCAACTTGTAAAGATATAAATTTTCTTGACCACACTTGAAACCCAATATAACATTACACTTGTCTATGTTGCTGTTCAATAGAAATAAATATTGTACCTTTTCACTTTTAATTTAAATTTGATTCCCTGGTAATTTTTCAGAATTATGATTTAACCAGTCAAAAGTGTCAACCATTATTTTATTTTCTTGTAGGAGTAAAGCAGGCTTGCTGTGAATTTCTGGAAAGCCAGTTGGATCCTTCTAATTGTTTGGGTATTCGTGATTTTGCTGAAACGCATAATTGTGTTGATTTAATGCTGGCAGCAGAGGTTTTTAGTCAGAAGCATTTTCCAGATGTAGTACAACATGAAGAGTTTATCCTCCTCAGTCAAGAAGAAGTGGAAAAACTCATAAAGTGCGATGAAATTCAGGTAGGAACTCATCCGTTACTGCAATTTAAGGCAAATAATATTTAATTCTAACATGTGATGAATGCATTTGTCAATCATGTATTTGTCGAGCTGTATAAACAGGATTTTTGTATTACTTTGAGAATATAAAATACATTTAAGCAGCTTTTTCAATGCAGTGTGATAAGGTTGTTTGCACACTAGCCATTCTTTCCTTTTCATGTTAATGTATTTGTCTAATGGAAAACATCGGAGGCTCTTGTTTTTTATTATTTATTTTTATTTCCTTTATTATTTTTATATATAACTCAAAGTGGTGAACGTACTTAATATTCCTTCCTTCTCCTATTTTCCCCAACCCAATTTCACCCAACCAGCCTTCATGCCTAAGATAGGACTAGAACTTGCAATCTCCTGGTTTCTAGCTTCATGCCTTAATCATCAGGGCAAACTGGCTAAAAGTCCTATTTGAATGCTTCAGTGTTTTTAAAAAATGAACATTTGTGAAACTATTTTTATTATTTCTTCTGGGGCTGCCAACAAGAACTGCCCTCCCTTTAGAGCGGACCAAAAAAAACCCCAGAAAAAGCCTTAAATCCAATGATTATATTAGGAACTGAGTCCTCTACCTTTAATCATATGATGTTGGAATTACATGTCACATGTTCACCCTTTTTATTTGTGACAGTCATAAGACAAAGCTACAGATTTTTGTTGGTAGACAGATACTTGTAATATATGATTGAGTTTTTTCTAGCAATCATAATTTGCTAAGCAGTTTTCCCACAGTACAAATGCAACCTCTGTTTGGGCTGCCAGGGGGCTATCTTGAAACATAGCCAACTCTTTTTGCAAAAGTCTGAGGAATTTTGCTTCTTTTCTTACAGGTTGCTTCTGAAGAGCCTGTCTTTGAAGCAGTTATTAATTGGGTGAAGCACTCAAAAAAGGAACGGGAAGCCTCTTTACCAGAGCTTTTGCAATACGTGCGCATGCCACTTCTAACCCCACGCTATATCACCGATGTCATAGATACTGAGGTTGGTCCAGGTTCTTTATTACTGAAATGGTTAATACAGTTCTGGTGGGCAAGTTGTGCTTTTCCAAATGTTATTACAGTTCAAAGTATGTCTAATTAATTAAACTTGTCTAGAGAACTGCAGTTTAATATTATGATCATAGTTAGGGAAGACGTCCATTATAGTAATACTATGTCTGAGTGTATCCATTATTAGTAATATCACTATTGTACTACAACATTTATTCACTTTGGGATATTTTCTGCTTTTCATTGTTCATTGAGGAATGTCAGTGTTAACTTAGCAGATATAAGGCATTTGTTTCAGCACTGAAAGGAATATTCATGATTTTAAATTCACCTGCAGTGAATACAAATCAATACATTTGCAAAGGCCCCTTCAGACTAATAAAAAATCAGTCTCTGGGTGTCCATTTAAAAAATCTGAAGTCAGTTCACCACATATAAGAATATAAGATGAACCATGTAGGATCAGGCCAGTAGTTCATCTAATAATATGAATACCAGTCAATTTTGATATATTTAGGGTAGTCACAGTTATGGAGAGAAGGGTGATACTCTTCTTCCACTGTTGCTTCATAGCAGCTGGTATTTAAAGCACGGCATGTTGTCTGTGATTCTTAAAATAAAAAGAGCTAATTGGAATAGTAGAATCTAAGACTCTGCAGTGCAGTGCTTCAGATTCCATTCCAAAAAGATGCTTCAGAGCACACGTACATCTGACCTGCAACTTACTAAAGCAGCTACATGCCTTTGCAGATCAGATGGTTGACAGGAAGAAGACTCTTCAGTTTTAATGAAACACAGGCAGGTTCTGCATTTGTGCTTCCCTGCTTCTCTGCAATACATTTGTGGAATTGGATCCAACAAAAGGGAGGGTCACTTTTCTATGAATGTGACTGGTCCCTTTTTAAATTGTTTATCACAATAATCATCAACATATCTGTTTCCAGCAAATTCTGCAATTAATAAGCATTCATTCCTGTTCACATGCCAAAATAGAGAAACTTCAAACTGCCTTTTAGTATCTGGAGAGTCCTTGGTGCTATCTGAGCTTAGTTGTTTGAAGACATTTCATTACCCAATTTAAGTAACATCATCGATGCTAGAAAGTGGTGTAAACCCCTGCTTACTGGCTGGTGGAAAAGATGTGTTCTGGTGTTTTATTTCCTTCTTAGCTTTTTTGTTGTCTTTTTCTGAATGGTGTGTAAATGTTTATCTCTGTGTCTGTTGATGGCTCATTTGTCTGAATACCAAGCTTCCAGGAATTCCCTTGCATTTTATGAATTTTGTATTTATATTACAGCATAGCATGTACATACAAAAGGAATTAAATTTACACCAGAATGCATATTTTGTTAGGCATCCCCTCCCCCATGGATTCCTGAATTTAGCATATTTTTATCGGTTCAGGTTTCAATGGATGCTACTATGTTTTAACACCGAGGGGGGAGGGAGGCTTTCTCTCCATGTTTTTCATACCATGTGCAATTTATATTGGTCAGGGATTACTTGCCTTGGCTCCATATTAAAGAAACCTCAGATACCATTTCTTTGGGAAAGCTATTGCAGTTTCTCAGATATTTTGATTGCTTTTTTTCCAATTTTGCTATATCATTTTTCAAGTGAACTGAAAGCAGATCAAACAGAAACAAATCAGGGCTTCTCTTAAATACACTGAGAGTAAAAGTGACTTTACCTTATGTTTTTGGTACTGCATCTGTCCTTCAAAGATGTCTTTCACCCAAGTGGTTTGATCAGGATTAATACTTGTGGTACAGATGATTCATTAGTGTAAAAGAAATAGTCTAAAACTCAGCAATTTTATAGTGGCATAATTGTTTAGCTTTAGAATGGGTTTCTTCTGCTACCGCAACACAAATTTGTATATGTCTAATTATTCCTTTTAAAAATATTTTTTTAATATAAATACAAATGTTCTTTTTTTGTTGTTTTCATAAGGAAGTGTATCTCTGTGATATTACAAACCTGTATATATTGTAAACATTATATAATCTTGTTATAATTCCCCAGCCTTTTATCCGATGTAGTTTACAGTGCAGAGACCTTGTAGATGAAGCTAAAAAGTTTCATTTAAGACCTGAACTCCGGAGCCAAATGCAGGGCCCCAGAACCCGAGCACGTCTAGGTAAGTGGCAAAAGATTTAAATCAACATTTAAGAAGAAGGAAATATCATGTTCCATTCTTGTGTTTATTTTCTTTTGTCAATTGCCAGGTTTAGGCTTAACAGATTCATAGTGTTAACACTGCTGCAAAAGATACTGGGCTTGATAAGTATAAGTTATATATATCAGCACAAATACAACATGTGTGTGTGTGTGTGTGTGTGTGTGTATGTGTATATATATATATATGTATATGTATATATATGTGTGTGTGCATATATATATATATATGCACTGTATGTGTATACTGTATGTGTCTTATATGAATGAAAAATGCTAAGCAAAATTAGATGTTCTGTGTTTGAATTAAAAAAACCTGCTACTCTCAAAATGTAGAATTGTATTCTTCTGATTCAAGTGAATTAAATAATTATTGAAAACAAGTAATTAACCTCTTTTGAGAGTCAATTTGGTCTAGTGGTAAAAGCACCAGACTAGAAAGCAGGAGACCATGAGTGAAGTCCCACCTTAGCCATGAAAGCCATCTAGTTGACTTTGGACCACTCTTAGCTCAACCCACCTCACTTTGTTGTTGTTGTGAGGAAAATTGGAGGAATGTGTTGGATATGTTTGCTATGTTGAGTTATTTGTAAGAATAAAGGCAGGATACAAATTAAATAATTATAAAATATATATAATCAGAAATATTTTATGTTTCCATGTGAATAGCAATTCTTCAAAATGCTGAAATAGTTAAAGTTTTGAAGAGATCACTTGTTGAAATAATTTGAGTTTCAAACAGGACAATTCCCATTTGCTCCATAAAAATAAATGCAAAACATAATCTAAATAATTTGTTAGTAATTAAAATATAGGGAAAGCAATGTTTTAAGCACAATGTATTTAATTTATAAACCTTCATAGGGTGAAATCACCATGTACCTTCAAGCCCAAAACACAGATGTTTGAAGAAAAATGATACAAGTGAAGCTTTTGTGCTTAGTCATCAGTATGCTGTGTCTGTCTAGTTCAAATGGATGGATAGATGATTAGCCTTGCCTAATTTTAGGTGCTGTAGATCAGCGGTCCTCAACCTTTCTGGCAGGGGAGAGAGTGGGTGGTTTCCTGCACACACACTGCTTTTATAAATGCAACTGTGAGCTCATTCCCACGCACCCACCACTTCTGCAGCCCAGTTCCCAATGGGCTGTGGCCTGCCAATGGACTGCAGACATGGGGTTGGGACCCATACTGAAGATCTAAGAACTGTTAATGAAATACCTATTTGGTATACTACCTGGAAGAAATTACAGTGGTTATTACTGAAATATAATGTGGCCTCAAACTTGAAACAATTAACTGAATACAATAGAATGAGCTCACCAAAAGCAAGTATAGAACATAGGTAGGAAGCAAATGCATAGCTGCAGAATAAAAAGTCAGATTGTCAGAAAATGACTCACAATTATGTGGCTCATGTTAGCAAGAATAATTAGGATAGTTTTTGAAAAGAAAGAGAAGGATAATTTGTTTCATGAACAAGCATGGCAGTTGAATTGCCTTTCAACTCTGTATTCAATGATACCTTGATTTTTGTTGATATTGATATTAAAGAAGGGAAAATCAGCTATTAACATTTAAAATACATTATTGTTAATATGTTATTATCTATTGAACATATAAATGAAATGCATTGCTATATTCTAGTGTTTAATTATATTTGTTATAACAGGGATTAATATGCTTAACAATTCCATAGAGTATAGCTTTCAAGCAGAAAGTAAGGGGAGGAGTGGAAAATCTGAACAAAATTGTTCAGTGAAGTAGTAAAGCTTTCATGGTGAAGATTTTTAAGAAGACAGGAGGAGATTTCAATGTTAATATAAAGGTAGTTCATTACTCAACTACATAGTTCTTAAATGTTTAGGAGTATGTGTTGATTATTTTTTGCTTGCTAATGTTTATATGCTGCCTTCTGATTCCAGACAGCTTACAGCATATCAGATAATATCATAAAATCAATCTGTAGTAAATAACTACTAAAAATAATAAAGCTGCCATCAAACAAGTCTATGCGGTTTCTTGTAAAACTTATTTTTGGGTTAAGATTGCAATCAGAACTGCGAGAATTGCTGTTGCTAAGCAGTCCGGTCATCTGACAACCATATTGCTTAGCAACAGAAATTCTGGTCCCACTTGCCATCATAACCTGAGGCCTGCCTGTCTCAGTTGGCAAATCTGTAAAGCAGCTGTTCCCAGTTAACAGAGGCCTTTGAAGTTTAACTTTGCTCTTGCTCTTGGGTTTATTGTTATTTTAGTAGACAAGATAGCAGGTCAAATTAGTTGGGTAAACAGAGTCGGAGAAGTTTATAAATTGTGGACCTATTTTACAAGGCGTGGGGGAGGGAATCTACTATTGTTGAAATACATTTATCAGTATTCAACTAGGGGAGACAATTTATGTGTGTGTTTTTTATGTACTCTTTTTCCTTGTCTTGTTTAGTTTTGCTTTGTTTCGCTTTGGGTTTTTTTTTTTTAGAGTTTGTATTTTAACTTTGATAATTCAAAAAATTATACAAAATAAGAGCAGCTGAGCTGTTCCTTTTCCCAGAACTGCATAGCAGCTGCAAAAAGCAATCATGTATATATCCTAGAAAAAAATGCTGTACCTTTAAGCAGTTGCAGATTGTCATTACATGATTATGTACTCAGCTAAAGTGCTGAACAGCCCTAGTATAAAATACTCTGATAACCTTATGCTACTTTTTTTATTTTAGATGTTTTGTCCCACCTTTATTATTTTTATAAATAACTCATATATAACACTCCTTCCTCCTTCTGTTTTCTCCACAATAACAACCACAAATAGGGGACTAGTCTAAGGTCACCCAGCTACTTTTCATGACTAAAGTGGGAGTAGAACTCTCAGTTTCCTGGTTTCTATGCCAGCATCTTATTTCCTTCAGGAAAAAAGTATTGAATATGGTAGAGAATTTGTACTTCTTTATGTAGAATGTTATTTTCTTTGCATTTATCCTGCTTGGTTGCAGTCTTCACTTGTTTCATACTGCTGTAACATAGCTTGCATACAAAACTTTCAGTGTATAATTCAACAGTGAGGGTGATTTTTCAGCTTGCTTTTCCCTTGGCTTGATTACAGATAAGAGTAAGTGAGTAGTCCAAGTTCATCCAAAAGGTTTCGTGCCTAAGGGAAATCCTAAATCTTCCCACTTCTAGTCCAGTTCCTGTGGTAGTATATCACACTGGCTTTCAGTTTATTTAAAAGTTTATTTTTATGCCATTTTTATTTGTAAAGTTTACTGATGTGTAATGTTATGGTGGTCTCTTTCATTTAGGTGCCAATGAAGTTCTCTTAGTGATTGGGGGGTTTGGAAGTCAACAGTCTCCCATTGATGTGGTGGAGAAATATGACCCCAAAACACAAGAATGGAGCTTCCTACCAGTATGTAATTATCTGCATCATATATGTTTAAAACAACACCATGCTGTTTACATACATGAAATATTAGGTGTCCACTGTGTGGCATTGTAAGATTCCTAGAGCATTCTTTTAAAAAAAAAGCAAAATTTGTTTGGCATGATGAAGTTTAGTGCAAAGGAGCATCCGGTAAAGAATTTTTTCTTTGCCCAATGCTTCTAATTTCACAACATTTTTTCTCTAGTTGATTTCCACCAGGAGTATTTGAATAGGTTAAAAATTGGTCAGAGGGAGACCTTTATGTGTTTTTTAGAAATTTCCATGTAAGAATGGGTATAAAACTGGAACACCCTATTTGTGAACAGTAGAAGATAACTGTCACTTCCTGTCTATACTCCTCAGGGAAGTAACACAGTAGTAGTCTACTATGTGAATGGATTGTAATACAGATAGATGCAGACAAGAATTGATTCAAGCTCAGACCGTTGTTAGCTGTCATCTCAGTATTTGTTAATGGAATGACAGTGTTAAGCAAACCACCTTCTCACATTTCTAAAATTTGCTTCCAGAACGATTTAAGGATTACTGAGAAAACCATATTGTATATAAGATTGCTAAATCAAGATTTAAGAATATTCCAAATGAAATATCACTTTCTTATATTTTCAAAGTACATAGAAGACATTTTCCTGTTTTTTGGTAACACATGTCTTCTCTCTGAATTAAAATTCTCCAGAATTCATTGCGGTCCATAGGGACCAGGTTTATCTTATGCTGAGAAAAACACAATTGCATTTTGAAGAGGCAAGCATGGGAAATTGAGTACTATTGTTGCAGATGAACTGGACACCTACAAATAAACCCTGTTACATTAGTCCAGGTTGATACAGTTTACATTCTTTCTCCCTGATCTTGCATTCTAGCACTAGAAAATTGCTAGTGCCAATTTCTTTTTAGATACAAAAATTTGATTCTGTTTTCTTTCTTTTAACTTACATAGAGCATCAGCCGCAAAAGACGCTATGTTGCTACAGTTTCCTTGCATGACCGGATATATGTAATAGGTGGCTATGATGGTCGTTCACGTCTGAGTTCTGTGGAATGCTTAGATTATACATCTGATGAAGATAGCATTTGGTATTCTGTGGCGCCAATGAATGTTCGACGGGGTCTAGCAGGGGCCACATCTCTAGGAGGTATGTATTGAAAAAAACCTAACTAATGATTATTCTTGGAGAAAAATCTACATGTGGGAAATAAGTATTAATGAAGGGGTCTTTGGTGCTCTCTGAGCTTGGTTGTTTTCTTACAGACTGTTCATTATCCAAACTAGGTAACATCTTAATCAGTGCTAGTAAGGAGTTGGGGTTTGCTCTCAATTTATATTCTGGTGGCTTGTCCTGTCAGTGTTGATGGGAGTGGTCTTGATAGTTCTTTGGTTGGGCTGTTCACTGTTAACTTGTTTGGAAGTTCCTTAATTGGAGTATTGTTTACTTCTTGATTGTTGGGTTGATGTTAATCTATGTTCATCTGACTGTTGATTAGCGGTGCGGAGCGCTTTGATATTTTTCTTTCCTTTCTGGCTTGTTGTTTCTTTTGCACAGTACTAGATGTTGTTTATGTCCATGTATCTATTGATTGCCAATTTATCTGAGTGCCAGGTTAGCAGAAATTCTCTAGGATTGTCAGAGTTTCCTAGCTGAAACTATGGTTAAATCTGTCCACATGTTGTGAAATTAAAGAGTTTTTATCATGTCTTCTGACTGCTAGTCTTACATACTGGCTATTGCAGTCTTTATACTATATGCTGTAGATNAGTGGAAGTCCACAAGTCTTCAAGTTCCCAAGTTTGGACATCCCTGGTTTACTTGAAACCTGAGGTAGGACTCCAGCGGCAAGCACAGCAAAGGCACTTGTAAAGCTCGGGGGGGGGGCTCCCCCCTGTTTCAATAGCCCCTCCCACTTACACAAATATGGTGGATGGGAGGGTAACCTGGTCCCGCCTATCCGGTAGAGCAGGATTTCCTGACTTCAGCTTCGTTAAGCTTGTGGACTTCAACTCCCAGAATTCCGTAGTTGGGCGGAGAGTTGGAAGTCCCCAGTTTAAAATTGCTGAAGTCGAGAAACGCCACCGTGAAGACTCTCCTTCCTTGCTCTATTGCGCTTGCGCAAGTATGGCGGCGCCCAGTTCGGCGATGGAGGCTGCTGCGCTGGGACCGGAGGAGCTCGTGTGCGCGAGTGGGCGGAACCGCAAAGCAGTCCTTTGCCAGCGCTGCGGCTCCCGTGTCCTTTTGCCCGGAGCTGCAACCTTCACCCGCAGAGAGGTAGGGCGTATTCGGCCCACCGCTGTGCTGTAGTCCTTGGTGATAGGCAGCCAAGGGGCTCTCCTCCCCCGCGTAACTTCCAGCCTCAGATGAAATCGGAGTTGCCAATTCCTTGATCGACCGGTGGATTTAAGCACCTTTCTGAGGATGGAAAATTGTTTTGATTAGGTCCCTAATGAAAAGACATCCCTTTCCTCGTAGGCCTTCCAGTCTATGGCTGAGCGGGATGCATGAAGTACTTTATCATGGTAATGAAATTAAATCAAGGATCTAGACTAGAGGAAACTAGCAGCAACTTGAATACCTTTGCTTGTCAGCTTTGTATTTGATACTGTCCTGGAACTCCCCTCTCCATTATGCCAGTTATATGGCTGCTTTCACAATTGTATTCCAAACTAGATGGCTTTGGGGTCTCCTCATTTCTTATTTTCAGTAATGCAGTAGTGTGGGTTGGTTTGGCCCAAAGTCACACTGTAAATGTGGTTAAGTAGAAACTTGAACCAAGGCTCCCCATCCATCTCCAATATTCCCACCAATTCCCTACATTGGCTCAATAATAACAAACGTCTTTTGTTACTTGACAGCTGTTTCTTCCTGCTATGAAGAAGAAGACTGCTTTGGTGACAAACGGTGATCTAGAAGGGGATGTCTTGCAGGACCACTGGCTAGTCGAGGACATGTTTTCTTTTGAAAACGTTGGTTTCACCAAGGATGTTGGAAATGTAAAGTTCCTGATCTGTGCAGACTGTGAAATTGGCCCTATTGGCTGGCACTGCTTGGATGATAAAAAGAGTTTTTATGTGGCCTTGGACCGTGTTTCTCATGAATGAAATGCTCATAGGTGACCAAAAGTGGCTCCTAGGCACCTGATTATACCACATTCTAAATAACTTTCCAAGTTCCTCAATATATAGGCTTGAAACATGGCCTCAATATGTAGGCTTCAGACTGGCACAAATGAAATTCCCTTTTCAGATGCATCAATGGAAGTGCTTATATTGCTTATTGAGTTGCAACCCATTTGAACCTGACCAAATTTGTACTGATATTTAATAATGTGCAATTATGTGCATATACGTTGAAACACACAATTCCATGCAAATTGGCAATTCAATTTCCTTAGTGAAAAAGGAAAGATATCCTGAATTTTTTCCTCTGTAAAATAAGAGTGTAATACAACAGGGAATAAGGCTTCTGATTTATTGGGAGAGAAGGGAGCATACCAGATTGTGATGCATAGCTTTCTGCTCTGTTCTGGATAAAAGAGTAAACATTTGTGATTTTGATGTTTACTGATATCTAATGTTTACAAATATCTGAATTTTCACTTCATGATCATTGTTAATTAAAAGCCAATCATTAGTTACAGGTCATCTTAATTATAAAAATAGTCAAACTGCCGGAAGTAATAATGAAAAATGGAAACTTAATTTTTATAATTGAATTGAAATCATGCATTTTAATTTATATATTGTATGTATTGGAATTACCAATAGCTAATCAAAAAGGGCTCACTCTAATAGGTATAATCTTACGTTTTCTGTATAGAACCTCAATTATTAATCTTTTTTCTAAAGCTGCTGTAACACAACTGATGTCCCTTGCGATAATATAGTCAATGAATCACACAGAATCATTTAGTCTAGTTAAGAATGTTATCTGAATGTGAGCTCTTTATTTTTCATCTAGGAGAAAATAGAGGACTAAGCTATGTTTTGTTCTCTAGTTTCTATAGTGTACCAAACCCCTCATTTAGATGTAAAGTTTAGAATGTTAGAAGGCTTGGGAGTAGGGTGGCTATTGAACCAATCAGTTGCCTTTTGTTATATTGTACATTTTGGCAATATGCCTGATTCTTTTTTTCTTCAGTTTTATGATTCCTTTTAATTTTAATTGTAAAACATCCAGGATTGTTTGGACTTGGGCTGCCTCTGAATTTCAATAAATAAAAATAGGCGGTGTAAAAGATGGTCAGCTTATTAGCTACATGCCCTTCATAGGATGGACAACTCCCAGGGAAAGAGCATGTTTACAGCTTAATCTTAACCACGCTAAGTATGACATGAGTGCTGTTAAAATGCTACAGTGATTCTGGTTTCCCTGTATCAATTTAAAGAAAGTAACGTTAGATGAGGTTTGTTATTTCTTTGATTTAAATTTTTTGGGGTTCAGTCTTCTCCCCAGTATTCTTAAACTTCCAGGGGAAGTCACTTGAATTTTGTTATTATATGATGTTATGTATTGCAACAACTTTTATATCACTGAATTCTGGAGTTTGTAGAATTTTTAAGTGCATGTCTTAGTACACTTTTCAAAAAGCATATGTAAGAGCAATCTGAAATGTAATGCCGGTAAGATTGCATTATTGTGGAATAGACATGTTAGTCCTTCTGTTACAAGTATTTATTTATGGAAAGTTAATATATTACTGCTTTCTTAGTAGTGATGAAATAAAACAGACTACTGGCTGGTGCCATATGGGTCAGTTGTTTCCATCACTATTTTTAAAAACACATGAAATCCCTGGAGTTCATTTGGAAATGTTCATTAAGATTTAATCAGTATGGTGCTTAGTTATCCATTGTTACTCCAGGTGCCATGCACTTTTATCTCAGTGCCTGAAGGTTGTTAGTGTCTGGAGATATAAGCAAACGTATTTATTTTTTCCTGTTAAATATCCTACTGCCCATAATGTTCCTTCTCCAACCATACATCAATTCATGTTTGTGAATTGTTACATGTATAGGTTTTTCATCTCTGGATATCTGTATAAAAGTTTGGACATTCAGAAATAAACATCAGTGGTACACAACACTGACAAAACTTCAGTGAGTTGTTTCACTGCAAAAGTAGCTTTGTTGCATAACCTATTCTTCAGACTACATTCATAGTTTCTAAACGCTGTAGGTACCAAATATGTAGGTGTGCACAGTTTCCATAGGTGAATGATTATAAGAGACAAGTACTGTGTCTAATTTTACACTTTTATGTCATTTTATCAGCTAGCTGGAGGGCAAACCTAACTCAATGAAGAAAATTTGGGGCTAGAGATCTCAAAAATGACTTTCTGGGTTCTGCTTGGTAATTCACCTGTCATTGGTCTCTTCCAAAAAATGTTTCCTCCTGTTAACCAAGCCTGTCTCCTTGAGTACATTGTGATTGCACCTGAATACAGGCTAGGAAACAATTTTAACAGAATGAAATGTTTCTTCTTGCTGCATAGAGCCTGATAACATTTCCATGTTAATTGTCTACCACATGGTGGCACCAGTATTGCACGAATGGGAAGATACAGTACTTGCTGGGAGATCTTATACTAGCTCTGCAAAAGTGAAAAAAGGGGGCTTTGTTAAATCCCTAACGTTGCAAATAGCAACATTTTTGTCATGTCTGTTATCTGAAATATTGCTACAGATAAATTAATACATAGAAAATCCTCAAAGAATATTTTTCATGTTTTGTTGTCTTGCTAACCAGGTTCACCAAATATGCTAAAGTAGAAGTAGAATAAATAAGTTTGGCATGTTATGTAAATCCACTATTTATAAAATGATACTTGGCCCGAATTTTGAAACAGAAATCAACTATACATCACATTTTTCTGCTTGATGAAAGCATGCTTCAGACTTTTGCAATATATCTTAATACTTTAAAAGAAGATGAGTTAATTTGATACACCATCTCAGTCCACATGGCAAACCAAACTTACAGAATAAACTAAATTGTAGCATACATGAAGCAGTAAGAGGAATTTTGTCATATATGTCAGATGCAAATGAGAAGTACATCGCTTGCTAGCACCATGATAGTGTCAGGAAGTGTGATGCAACTAAAGAATTCTTGGTTTTGTTTTTTCAAAACTTAAATCCTGT